AGAACTGGCTTTTCAAAATCAAGAACTTCTGGGAATGATGACACGATAGACCGAATATTCTGAGTGATCCTTTCTTCTTTCTTGATACGAAATTCTTCATCTTGCTCGGCGATTAAGTTGTCTTCTTCACCATACATGGATTTTAAGTAAGAGACTTCAGAGACCGCAAGTAAATAATCCATACTACTCATGTTGGGCGTGATTTTCATGCCCGAAAAATCGTCTAGACTCAACAATGTGTAAACCATATTGTATGTTAGTTGAATAAATCAAAAGAGAGAGAGAAAAAAATTTGAAAGAAATAATAGTGTTTGTATAGCAAAACAACACACGATTTGTGAATAAGGAGAGTGTTTAATTTATAGAGTTAAGAAGAATTCATAACCTCAATGGTTTGGGTTTGGAATAAAAAAAAACCTTTTTAGTTTTGGAAACCTTAGTAGAAAAACGTGTTTTTTTTTTTTTTTTTCAGTTAACCTTTTAGGTTTTGGACAACTTCTATTAATGAATTAAGGAAATAAAATAACGTGTGTGTTTTTTTCCAGTTCTTTTGCTTCAAATTATAATTATAAATACAAATCCTAATCAAAGGTCTGCCGTATCTTGGGCCAATGTCTATCTACATAAAATAGGAGAAAGCAAAATAATATTATACTTTCTTCGTCTCAAGTTATATGACTCTTTTTTGGCAATTCAAATTTTAAACTAGTCTTTTTTTTTTTGGTAATTTGTGAAAAACTTACCATAACCAACAAAGCAACAATACACACTAAATAGCACCTAAGAACCAATACCACCTTCAAGGACGGGTGTAAAGGATAGAGAGGCCTCAACAAAATCAAGTAAACTGATTACAAGAATCGCCGCTCATTCTGGACAGTGGCAAATGTCTCTTACCTTCTGGACCGTCGCAAATGTCCAAGTAATCTCCAATCTTACCTGACTTAACCATATTTGCAGATTTTCCAGGCCAACATTGTTCCACGCAACGCGCAATTGGTGAGTTCCAAACTGTGTGTTTTATACTCATGTTTATGTACAGATTACATCTATTCCCCAAACTGCCTTACAGTTGCTTAAAACACACACCACATCAAAGTCGTGATACTCTGTATATTAGCAATTGCATTGATCAAACTCTTGCACCTTAAAATCCATAACACTTGCTCACTTTTTTACTTAATCTGTTTCCAACTTTGGAATTCTTGCATTAGTACCTATACATTGGCCATTCACTTTTAAAAAAATTAAACTCGCCGGTCACCATGCTCATTCTGAAACAAATCCCACTGCTACTAAATTGTTAAAAACTGAAAGCACCACAATTTGCTTGGGGCTATTCTAAATCAATTAGTTTATTATATACTATTGGAAAATTCCGTTCATTTCTTGAAGATATTTCCTACTTATATTAGCCATCTACGATAAAAGTAGAATCAAGTATAATCTACTTTATGTTTCCTTTAACATTTACTGATACACATCAACTCCTGCAATTAATTAACATTGATAATCACTTTCCCGTCGTCTGTACCTCTAACCATGCAGATCCAGCATACATTGTCACTGAAACAGAAGCAGAGTTTACCCATTAACAAGATACCAAAACACTCCGTTGATTGGGTGATGAGAGCTTTAGTTGTTCACAGGGGTTCAGTTATACCTTACAAAAAACCAAGGCATGAAGGCACTTTCTGAATGATAATATTAGTTGACGGTACTATCATTGACAGTTTTACATAGCTTATATACTATCGTTCATATTTACTTTTGGCATAATACATATAGGCATAATACATATATTGACCCCTAAACTTGACTTCAAATTTTAACTTTGACCTCCAACTTTCATAATGCACAAATAGGCACTTTAACTATCCTACCTTTAAATAAATAAACACGCGATTTTCGGAGCCAAAAGCGTGAAATGTAAACGCTGTCACGTGTATTAGTGACCCACTCAATGGCTGGCAACTATTCAATGCATGTGGGCCCGTTTTCCTGTCTATTTGACACCTTTTCAATTTGTCATGCATTTATTTTAATCTCTTTTAATGGATATGGACCCTACCTCACTAATTCCATTCCCTTCTCTTTATTTTTGCCTTACAACTTCTTCCTTCACTTTCATTTTGTGGTAAATTAATATTTGAAAATGTCAATTATTCAATTTATAATTTATTTGTCTTATTTCTTTTTTTTAATTTATGTGTATTCAAAGATTACATTTAAGATACTATAAATTATTAGACTTAATATTTAAAAAAATTTATTACAAATTTGAAAATTACGTAATATACACTATTAATTACAATAATTACTAATTTAAAATATTTTTTCAATCTAATAAGAGCCTACAAACACACTATACGTTATATTTAAAAGTACTATAAATCATAATTAAAATATATTTTTTTTAGAAAATTTTTTGTTGACTCTTGAAATTCTATTGGTGACACATGAATTTGAATAGATGGAACAATATATATTATTGAAAGTTAACAATACTATAAGTTATTCGAAAATGACGTTAATGATTTTTATAAATTATAACAAATTAGCAACTAAAATATTTTTGAAAAAACATACAAAAAATTAGTTGATGAATCAGCCACCACTAAAATTTAAAACTATTTATTTAACGTCAGTTAAAAATTAACTTTTAAATTAATTATTAGCACGGGCTCTTCATCACTAGTATATAATATAATAAGCGGGAATAGAGAGGACCTTGGGGTCGATACGTGTTCCTTTTTCCTTCTGGACAAAAAAAGACTATACAGGCAGGAGGTCAACTTGTAAAAAAAAAGGGGAACCATATTTTACTATTGAAGGATGCGTGTTTCTTTTAAATTTCTTTTACCATACTAAATAATTGTATAAAATATTATAAATCACGATAATTAATTACTTAAATATTTAAAAGATATAAAAATATATAAAAGATCTGATTGACTCTTCAAATTTTACCGGTGACGCATAAATTCGGACAAATGAAATAATATATATTATTTGAAAATTTCTTAGAAAGTACTATAAATTACAGTAATTAACAGCTAGAAATATTTCAAAGACAAAAAAAATTGATTGAATCTCAAAAAAAAAATTTAGTACTACACGTGTTCCTTTTTCCTTTTTGCCAAAAAAAAAAACTTCATTATAATTTTTTTTCATAATAACAAAAAAATTTACTAAATGTCACTTGCATTTTGCAGTGAACAACAAATAATGCAAAAAAGAGGGGAAAATTAAAAAATATAAAAAGGGTTTAATTGTCCTTTCAATGCTTTTTTTACTGTTGACCCCCTGAATTTTTTACATCTGACGCGCCTAATTTGAGTGTATTTCACGCATTTTGCCAGGTAGGATCCGAGTGTTTTTTTGTTTAAGTTTTGGATAGTTAAAGTGCCCATTTGTGCACTTACAAAGTTAAAGGTACAAAGTTAAAATTTGAAGCCAAGTTTAGGGGTCAATATATGTATTATGCCTTACATATACTTGACTTCAGCTATGTCATAATACATAAACATGACCCTTAACTTGACTTCAACTAACAACTATGACCTTTAAATTTGGGTGTACGCAAGTAGGCACTTAAACTTGTATAAAATTGAACAAACAAACACATTCGTCCTGCATGACACTTTTGCATCCTACGTGTAATATGTCACGTAGGACTCGTGTGTCTACTTGTTCGATTTATACAAGTTAAAATGCCTACTTGTGCACATTCAAAGTTAGAGGGTGTAGTAAACTGATGAAGTCAAGTTAATGGTCATGTTCATGTATTATGCCTTTACTTTGCTATTGACATCAGCGTCACTCAAATTAATACTAGGGAACAAAACTCCAAGCAAACACATATTGAAACATGGAAGGACACTCTCTACATACGCAACAATATTCTTCGGTTTACAAGACCGAAAACATATCGAGGTGTGGATGTTACTGAAAATACATTTCAATAACACACGTATTATTAAGCCCTCAAACCCTCACAAGTCGTCACCTTCAATACTACCAATCTGGACAAACACGACTAATAGCTTAACACACTTAACTATAAACTGTCGCAGATGCAACAATATCAACAAGAATCAATCTCCATTATTGAACAAACAGGTATCCCCTGCTAGTACGCAATTAAAACACTTTCCACCTTTCGCAACAAAACAACTTCACTATATTCGCAATTAAAACACTTTCAAACTTTCGCAACAAAATCACAAATACAAATTTGCTTACAGTTGTAAGTTCCAACCTAATTTATTGATATCAGAATATTATAGTTAGTAGCTGAGTCAGCATAATTAGTTAGCGGGAAAGTTAGTTAAATAACAGAGTTAGTTAGATAATCGGATTAGCAACGAGTATTAGTACTGGTAACTCACACCTGTACACAGGGGCGGACCCACGTTGGTTCCAGGGGGTTCACCCGAACCCCTCGGACAAAAAATTACACTGTATATATAAGGTAATTTTTTGTATTTATGTGTATATATATATTTTGAACCCCCTCAATGACAAGGAGAAAGAGATAGCCCAGTGGCAAGTTCCCTGAAAATTAAACCTTACGTCGAGGGTTCGAATCCCTGCATTAGCGTTTTATTTTTTCTTTTTCAGTTTCAGTTTATTTTATAAAACATGCTAAAAGTGTGGTTTTAAACCCAAAAAAATTTAAGGGTCCTTCACTAAAACTAAATACTACTACTTTCTTGAAATTTTGTTTTGTTGGCTTATATATACACGTTTATACTTTTATTTTTCGAACCCCCTGAACGAAAATTCTGGGTCCGCCACTGCCTGTACATATCAAGCAATAAAGACGAATCCTAAAAGTATTAGACTAGGAATATTGGACTACGAGTCCTAGTAATATTAACGTTACAATCAATCAATCCAATTCATGATTTGACTAAATATTCGTACCAAAAAGAAACATGCTAATAATTTATTTAGATGACAACAACAACAACAATATCCAATGTAATCAACAAATCCATCTAATAACTTAAACATTAACAAGGGCAAAACACAAGGTTTCACCCTTTCGGAATGCCCACAATTGCATCTTCATACCAGCTCTCAAACCATTCCTTCTTACCACATCATTCCAGTGTTTAACCAACACATAACTTGAACTTGCTTTCCCATTGTTTTTGTTCATTGTCCATTTTCTCAGATTTATTTCACCTTTTTTATGCGAAGGCTCAATCAACATCACATTCATCTCACGCATTTTATTAGCCTCATTGCGCCCATTCAAAAGTTGTTCTTCAGCAGGCTTTAGAAACTGATTACTCATCTGCTTTTGTGGGATTGAAAACCTTCCCTCTGCTGCTTTAACATCCGTGTCGAATAGTGTTTTTTCAATGACCAATATAGCTGATTCAAGTAAACCCCCATTGACTGTAATCAGATTCTTGAATTCGATACTCAATTCTGCAGGAGGGGCGACAACTACAGCTCTAGCAACAGGTCTAAAATTGCAGTTGGCTTCTTCTCGTGATCTTTTTCTGTCAACGGGCAATGGTGCAGAATTACTACTACTTCCTCTGTTTTCCCTATTATCAGCCGCCTTTTCTCTGTTTTCGAGTGATTCTTTATTGTTGACAGTGACACCAGTTGGTCTTACAAGTCTAGCAGCAATAGCAGACCAATCTGGTATATTTTTTTCCGCATTATCAACTTGTACTACTCTGTGTTCTTCAGACTTATTTTCCAGAGCTTTAACTTCTCTTGGACGCGCGTTTGGCCTTGATCGTTTTCCCCTTGGGACTGCGAAATCAAAAACTGGTTTTTCAAGATCAAGAACATGTGGGTATGATGACACGATAGACCGAATATTCTGAGTGATCCTTTCTTCTTTCTTGATACGAAATTCTTCATCTTGCTCGGCGATTAAGTTGTCTTCTTCACCATACATGGATTTTAAGTAAGAGACTTCAGATACAGCATGTAAATAATCTATACTACTCATGTTGGGCGTTATTTTCATGCCCGAAAAATCGTCTAGACTCAACAATGTGTAAACCATATTATATGTTAGTTGAATAAATCAAAAGAGAGAAAAAATTGAAAGAAATAATCGTGAATAAGGAGAAAGTGTTAAATTTATAGAATTAAGAAGAATTCATAACCGTAATGGTTTGGGTTTGGCATAAGGCAGAAACCTTTTTGGTTTTCTACAAAGGTTAAATTAATAAATAAAGCGTTTTTTTTTTCTTTTTTTCAGTAAGTTCTAATGTAACTAGTATTAGTAATCCTAATAAAAAAAGAGAAGCAAAATATCCTATCCTAAAAGTATATATACACTCTTAATTAATTGATCAACTAATTAATTCTAGCTCATTATACCTAATCCTAACAAGTGTAACTAACATTAGGAAAGGGGAAAATTACTATTTTACCCTTGTTACTTAAATACGGTAGACATTCAGTTTTCACTAATCCTTGTTGCAATTGACAATCTATCTCAATGTGTTCGGTCCTCTCATAAAATAATACTGGATTTGGCCAAATCTAATTTTTATTAAAAACCCAGGGGCGAGGGACAGACCTTGTTTGTGTACATGCTGTCCAGTCTGCATCACAGAATGTTATTACAGTGTCCTCTGCTTTGCTTGATAATAGTAGACCTTGACCAGGTTGAGCTTTTATATATTTGACTATCCTTTGTTATATCCTTTGATATTATAAGGTGAGAATCAAACCTTATTAACAAAGTAAAAATTTGTAGTCAACCAACTGAACTACTAAAATTTCCGTTAATTTTTTTTTCCTTTGTTTTAACTAAAAAAAAAAATATTTTATAATTTCTAATTATTTTTCTATTACAAATCAACAAAAATTACTCCATTTTAACCATTGCTGCTAGTTAGTTTTTATTATTTTAGAAGATTAAATCTCTTTCTCGGTACAATTTTAATTGAAAAAAAAAACATTTTTTTTCAAATCTCTTATAGGTAAAAGATAAAGATTTCACGTAAAAAAAGACATAAACTATAAATAAATAAATTAAAGGACCATTGTTTGTAGTTTCCCTTATTTAATGATGAGAAAATTTCATAAATTGCAAAACGATTAAACTTAATAAGCCTCTTTAGCTACCGTTTCTTTAATTACGCTCCATAATTATAATTTGTTTGCTATAAATATTTTCATTTGTATAATTTGCTTGCCAATATATACAAACATGATAAGTATATACAAATTATGTATCTATACATAGGAAGTTTCAGAACTTATACTAATCAAATCTACCAACAAATGTATCAATAAGTTTATTATATACAAGCTAGGATAGACATATACAAATTTTGGATTTATACAATTAGGAACCGAATTATACAAATTCTGGATATGCCCCCGCGTAAATATGGTTATATGTTAGTGGCAAAAAATATTTTCTTCAAACTATAGCTATGGTAGATAATTAACTAGTATATTAGTAGGGGTGTTTGTGGTTCGATTTGGATCAATTATTGGTCAAAACCAAACCAAACCAAATCAATCTAGTCGATTTTTTTTTTTAACTTTTAAAACATAACCGTTGGTTTGGTTCAGTTTTTCTAGTTTTTTCGGTTTGGAAGTAATAATTTTTTTTTAAGGACATACGTATCTCGATAGACACAAACATCTAGTACATGAAAGTTAATGTCGATTCAATTAAACAATTAAGAAATACTAGAATTATTATTACACGAATAAAGTGATTCAGTTAAGAGAGAATGTCACTATCTTATGTGAGGTAGGGTAGGTAAAAATGAAAATAAAGGATTTTGATGGACTTGGACTTAGGATTCTAATAGTTGGGCTAAAATTTAAGTGTTGAGTTTGAGAAAATGATAAAGTTAAAGACTTAAGTTAATTAGAATTTAACAAAATATTTATATTTAATTTATAAATAATATAGAAATAATTATAAAAATTATATATCTAATTTGTAGGTTTGATTTGGTTATTTTTGCGGTTGTTTTTTAGTAAAACCATAATCAAACCAAATAGTATCAGTTTTCAAAATTTAAAACCAAACCTAACCAAACCAAATCAAATATCAGGTTTTTTAATCGATTCAGTTCGAATTGTAGTTCGATTTGGTTGTTTAACCATAACCATGAACAACCCTAAGTATATGCTTGATTTTCCATTTAATCAGGCCGATCGGGCCTTTTAATAAAAAAAATTAAAAATTAAAATAAAAAGTGCTAGAAAATCATTTATCCCCTAGTACATTTCATATTACTTGACCCGATTTTAGTTAAAAGTATATTGTATTAATAATATTTTGAATATTATTTATTATTAAAAATTCCAAAATAAAAACTTCTTCTGATTTTTCGTATCATAAAATAAAATCCAGAAATCCAAATCTTAGAAAACACAAACTAGTAAAGAAAAAATAAAAGACTGTACAGAAAATACAGTATAGAAATAATAGGAACACAAAATCCCCCAACTCCAATTTCACCTCGCAAGAAGAAGAAGAAGAAGGAGGAGTTGTTTGTACCTTGGATCACCAGCCATGGTATGCTAGATCTCTTCTTTTCAACAAAACCCAAAACCCATTTTCTCTTTTATCTTTTTTTCAATGTTTTTCGTGTTTGATCTGGTGAATAATTGTTACAATTGATGCTTGATTAAAGATATATTTGTAAAAAAATACATATGGGCATTTTTTGATTTGTTGCATTTGTTCTATACGATTTGGGATTTGAATCTGATTCTGGATCTTGCTGTGGAAATGTACACCAAATGTTTGAATATTATCTGGGGTTTTTTAAATTGATTGTTTCTAGCTCAAATGAGGAGTTGGGGTTCTATGGATCATATTTAATTTCTCTAAAGGGGTCTCAAAGATTTGGTGTATATTTCCTTTTAGAATGGTTGATAGTAGACGAGGGGTTGGATTTTTGTGAAATGTAAGAGAAATCTGGATTTGATGAAGGAATTCTTGAGCTATGATAGATTGTGTGTAATTGGATAGAGAAAGTGATGAGCTTTGTGGGTATTACTTTTTTGGTTGAAGGATTGAGTTTTGAGGCTTTGAAAATGAATGATTGAGCTAATACATGTTATTTGTATTTCTGTATATGGGTATTCGAGAATCACTTGATGTTTGAAACCTGTAGAAGTTTGGTATTAGGGAGAGGGATGTAGTGCTTAGTTGATGAGGGTACCTGAAGGGAAGCTGTGAATAGTCCATATATAGAATCAAAATGCTTTAGCCTGTAGCAGTCAGAGGAACCGGGGAGAAATTTAGAGTGTGTGGGGTACTGTTTTTGATCTGGAATTTCTATTGGTGTTGACGATGAATAGGATGAGTAGTAGAAGAGGAACCAATTCGTTGTTGCAATAGATTGAGTATGCATAAATTACTTACTTTTTCAACATTTATATTATGCACTCGAACATCATTCAATAATCAATGAATTTTGGAAAGAAAAATCAACATCTAAACTCAGAGTTATTGTATACAACTTGGTGATTGACTTTGTATCTTAGCATTAGTCCACCAAATTTGTGAAACCTAACCTTCATCTGAATCCAAAGTCCAGCCATTTAGTATTGGGAAATCAACTAAGAAGATAAATTGGACATTCAACAAATAAACAGCATAAGTTAAAAAACAAAAGATATCCCACTAAACCAAGAAAAGGATGCATCTATCACTCTTTTACTATAGCACGTCACTGGTCAAACTTTGCCACGGATAAAACCATGGTATTTAAGTAGAGAAGCTTAGAAAGGCAGGCCCATTGTCCACTGAGTTTCAGATCGTGTGCCACAAGTACTTGGGGATCTTCCTATTGTAAAAAGAATTTTAAAAGACTACAAACAAAGTGGATATTGCACGCCTTTGAGAAAATCAAAACGATGCTGGGACTAATTATTTTTGGCTGACAATCTTTTGACTTGTTTCAATATTTTTTTTTTATAACAGCTTCACTGGATGCATATGCTATATTTTCTACTACAGTATATATCAACCGCAGTATAGCTAATAGCTTTTGATTTCTTCCAGATTCATTTTGTTCTGCTCATTAGCCGACAGGGAAAGGTGAGGCTAACCAAGTGGTATTCACCATATACACAAAAAGAGAGAACCAAGGTATTTCTTCTGCCCTTCTTGAGATAGAATGTGATGAATATCATAGGGTGTTTGTTTTTTGAAGTGGTCTTAGGGTGTTTGTTTGATTTATTCAACAAAACTGTTTGTATGTGTTACTCAGTCTAGTAATTTTTATTGAGATCTCAAACATGATGTATTTATCGATATGATTTAGGGATAACAATGTGGTGGAGACGCCCACGGCCCACCTCACATACCTTTCACTAGTTCGGTTTTTTTTCTATATGATAAGTAAATGCCTTTTCCTACTTCCTCAAGAAAATTATTGCGGTAGCTGTTTTACTTGTTATTCCTCAACAAGCTTCAGCTACTAAGTGGCAGATATGAGTGGGAAATCTCATTCTCTTTGGGGTGTAAGCTTCCTTATACCCTGGATTTATCTTTAAGTTTCTTCAAGGAACTCACCGCTTCTCCTGAAGAAACTATAGGAAAAATCGGGAGCTATATACATAGAAAATACATGATGTTGCATTATGACAGACTGGTTTGCAATATGCATAGAAATGCATGGTGTTGCATTAATTTATGACAGAGACTGGTTTGTTCTTATCAAAAGAGAGAGAGATAGAGAAAGACTTGTTGGTTATCATAATTGAGAATTGATCTTGTCAATCCTCGTGACATTAAAAGAATTTTCTTGCAAACTAGGGAAATTAAAATATAAAAAAGAGTAAAATACGAAAAGCCAAAGAAGGCTTATACCTTCCAAATAGTTCCAATATAAGATAGAATCATGTATTAAGAGAGGGTACAAAGAGCGCTTCCGGGGCTTAAGTCAAGTAGCAAAGTCGAGGGGCTTGTGACTTAGGTCACATGATTGAACCATGCGCCATGTGAACTAAGCCTGGTATTTAAATGAAGAAGGGACGAGGGGTGGGCCATTATTTCTGAGTTGTGAAGGTTGCGGTTGCTCCTAAGGGCTGGACCCTAACGGATTTCTCAGTCGTGAAAGAAAAAGAGAGGGTTTAAAGAGCCTGAAGAGATGTTCTGAAGATAGGTGTAAAAAATATGAAGTTTCATACCCGAAAAGTAAGATAAAGAAATTACATAAGGTATGGTGTAAAGCTTAATTGCTTGCTTTTAGTCTTTATTGTTTTCCAGTACTATCTGTTTTATTTTTCTTCGCTGCCAAGGTGAATGGGTCTTGCAATTTTTTCAAGCCATTAAATAGTAGAGGGATGTGAATAAATTTTCATTTTTGGCAAGATTGAGAAGTAAATAATTATTCCACTTTCTTATATACACAGGATTTTTCATTCCTGCAAACATCTTATAGTACTGATTATGCAAAAGTTATTTTCCTTAATTTATTAGTAACATGTTACATGTCAATGCAACTCTCTTAAGGTAATCCGTGAACTAAGTGGTATGATTCTCAGTCGAGGACCAAAGCTTTGCAATTTTGTTGAGTGGAGAGGATACAAAGTCGTTTATAAAAGGTAAAGGTGATCTAATTTTATTCTCAAGTTCACGTCTTATGATTTGCTCTCAATTAGATAGAATCTATTTATCTTTTCTTTTTAGAGAAGAATCTATTTATCTTTTTTCCCTGTAAGAAAATATACGATCCAATCTTCTTATGGGCTGTTTAATTTAACAGATACGCAAGCTTGTATTTCTGTATGTGCATAGACCAAGAGGACAATGAGTTGGAGGTCCTGGAAATCATACACCATTTTGTTGAGATTCTGGACCGATACTTTGGAAGTGTAAGGCTCTCAAACTCTAAAGAAGATGGTATTACTACTTGTTCTATTTTATATTTATGTTGTTGGCTTTCTTTCCCTTCAGGTCTGTGAGCTGGACTTGATCTTCAATTTTCACAAGGTATGTTCATTGAATTTGTTCAGGGATTTCTACAATCTATGCCTCTCCACCTGTCACCTTTGCCTAAATTTTACTGTTTTTCCTTGTGGATGTTACAATAATTGAGGTGACATTTATGATCACTTCTTGGGGCTTATATAGATTCGTTACTAGAGGTTATTTATAGAGGTTAATTTTTTTTGATAAGAAGTAGAGGTTAAATTTGTAAGTAACTAGAAACAGAACTATTTTAAAAACATTTTCCATTGAACTTTGAGTAGACTACAATTACAGTTGCAGGTTATCATGTGACTCCTCTCTTGCTTTCCCTCTCCCTCTTATTACCCGTCTATTTTTTTGCCCTTGGTCTCTGCAACCATGCTTGATCTCAGACAGAACGAAGGGCACTCAAAACCTCAAATCATCTTATTTTCTGTGCTAAACCAACCCTCATTTTCTTTGTTTAAACTGTGTATAGATTACCTTTTTCCCAATCTGAAAATTAGTGCTTTGCTTGTGCTGAACTTTGTGTAATACATGTAACTGTCCCCTTCATCATCATAAGTTGGGTATTAGAATTTTAGCAATGAAGATCTTAAGATATTTGGAAGTTATATCTGATGAAGAAACATATTTTACAAAAGAGAAGATCCTCTGTTAAAGTTTAGTTACTAAACCATCCAGGTTTTGCACATGCTTGGGTGACAGGGCCCATTTGGCAATAGTAACTCCAATTGGTGAATTTGTTATCAAGTAAATAAGAAATATTCTCCAAGAATTATGTTTTAACATGCCACAAAAAGAAGAAAAAAGCACTATTTAGCAATGTAAAGTTGATTTTTTAATCTTGGGTCTATGAAATCAATTGTGAATTGTGATTTATTACTTGCCTTTCTCATAAGCAAAAGAAGTCATTATCTAAGAGTCCAAACTTATCTTGTTGGAATAATTGAATCTAAGAAAGAACGAAATGTTTTCTTCGTCTTTACTCTTACTACTCACATTTTTCCATTTAAAAAATTAGTCTGTGATGTTACTTCATCAAAAAAAAAAAAAAAAAAAAATTAGTCTGTGATGGTTATTATTTATTTCAGTAAATTTTCTTGAGTTTCTTTAGCTGTTGGTGTATACAGAACGGAATAGTCTGTCTGAATATGTGCATATTTTAAATGTCCATGGACTGTTGGCCATTGAATTCAAAAGGGGTTTTCATTGTGAAACTTGCCTTGTAAAAATCCCAAATCGGAAATAAGAAGAGGAATTAAGGGGCCATATAAGGAAGAGTTTAAGATTCAACTGTTGAGATGCCTTTTGGATTAAGGTCCAAGAGGACAAAATTGTGAGGCCCAAAAGGCTTGAGGTGGCCCACCAGGGTAGGGCTAAAGTGAACAATACCTTGGCAATTAGGCCTTGACCTTGACATTGACAGGTGGTATCTGAGTCAGCACCTCTCTTGGTAGAAATATCAGCGAGGACGTTGAGTCCCGAAAGGTGGGTTGAGTATAACAACCCTCAGACCGCTGATGGTTGAACTCAAAAGGCTTGCTGTGTCACTTGCCTTAACACAAGTGAATTTTGAATTCAATGTTTAGTTTCCTTTTGGGTTAAAGCTCATGGGGACAAAAAACTTGAGGTCCAAAACCCTTAAGGTGACCTAGAGGAGCCAGGCCAAAGTTAACAAGACCTTGTCAGTTAGGCATGGGCCGTGATAGATGGTATCATTGGTAGCTCCCCTAGTATGATGGTAGAAAGAACTTAGCAAGATCGATGAGTCCACAAGGGTGGGGGTAAGTGTAAAAGCCCCCAGACTGTTAGCTGTTGAACTTGAAAGGGGTAGAAACTTGCCGTTGTCAAATCCCATATCGTAATGGGATCGTAAAGTTAGGGGCCATATAAGAGCGAGTTTGGGATTCAACTATTGAGACATCTTTATAATTAAAGTCCAAAGAGAAAATCATGACACCCAAAAGCGTTAAGGTGGCTAGATGGGTTGGGAGAAAGCAGACAATACCTTGCCAGTACCATCCGTAGTATGATGGTGGAATCGCTGAGTAACCGAGTCCTTAAAGGGGGTGGGCATAATAGCCCATGGACTGCCGAGTTGGACCGGAGAGGGGGTTTTGCTGTGAAGTTTGCCCTAGGAAAATCCCACATCAAAATAAGGGGGGAAGGAGCCTTATAAGGGTGAGTTCAGGATTCAACTGTTGAGACATCTTCTGTCTTAAAGCACAAGGCTACAAAAACCATAAGGTGTCCTAGAGGTGTCAGTGAACTAGTTAAACTAGCTTAATGTTACTACAAAAACCAATGAATGCTCCTCGGATTGACTTGTTTTTTTGGATAGTATATTCTGTGCCAACTTGCCTCTCAGTGACTACTTGCATCTATCATGCATTTTCATAGAAACAACTTTTGAGATTATAGCTTATATATATTTCGAAACCATGTGAATGATTTCGCAGGCATACTATATATTGGACGAACTTGTGATTGCTGGTGAACTCCAAGAATCGAGCAAGAAAACAGTTGCACGTCTAATTGCTGCACAGGTATTCTTCATTATATACTTGATGCATTTCACAGTTAACAATGCAATATTCTTCACTGATCTTATAACTGGATCCTGTCAACAACTTGCAGGATTCTTTGGTTGAGGCTGCCAAAGAAGAGGCAAGTTCTCTTAGTAACATTATTGCACAGGCTACTAAATGAGAGTATGGAGGCGGCATTCAAGTTTTTTGAGTGCATTTATGTTTTTCAGATTCTCGTTTGTTGCTGTAATCCAATCGTGTTATGACATTATTTCTTCTTTCAATGCTATTGCATCATGGTTTTCGTTTAACTTTGTAGTTAAAAATAGGAATTTCTTTGTAGTAATGAGTTTTCTTCTCAACCTAAGCGTGTGTTTACTGCAGTGATGTATGTACTCTGTTGCCTAAAAACTGGTGGTAATATATATAGTACTTGTTCCTGGTGGAGCTAGCTGATAACTTATCTCTCAAAACGTAATTTTGGCTTCTTTCATCTTTAATTACGGCTGTATGAAGGTGATGAAAGGACACTGGGTGTGGGAAAGTTACTGGTTGGAGGAGGGATGTTTGCCTAGGCTTTTCCAGTAAGGGGAATGAAGAAAAATGGAGACAAAGACTAAGAAAATATTTCATTTAGTTAGCTTTTTTCATGCTTACAATAACTAATTATCTCGACTTTTTATCAGCGACTCCAACTATAACTTTAGCTATATTTATTGGTATGAGCAAAATAGACATGTATTTCATAAAAGAGAATATAGCCCCCATTAATACTTTCATTTAATCTTTCCAAGACTTCCAATCATAAGCAAGTAAAACAGATAGGTATATTATCTTAAACATTCAAAAGCACAATTAAACACAAAGGTTAACAAGCAAATTCAAGTGTCTCCAACCTTTGACAAATTTGATAGAAACATATTTGCCATAGGAAAGATTCACCTTGCACTTTTGAGCCAAAAACAAAGCTATCTATGCACTATTAGGACATTAACCTCTTAGAGCCAAGTCTCTAGCAGTTTCATTGGTTTCTTCATAGATATGGTAAACTGCACAAGTTATACGTTTCTGCAAATCAAAAATTTCCTTCAACCTGTGCATGATTGTATCATTTGGCTCAAAAAGACCATTAACATAATGGACAAGTATAACATTATCGGACTCCACAATCAACTTCTGTGCATTTGGCCTTCCTTCCACACATCCGGCCAACCCAATCTTCAAGGCCTCTAGTCCAGCAATCACATTGTCTTCAACATCAATGTAACCCCTATACCTATCAAAACACTTCCCTTTTTCATCTTGGAAGATGCCACTATATTGTCCTGGTTGATCACCTTTTGTACCAATACCATAGATGTTTAGTTTGATCCAACCTGGAGGAGGAGGAACCGGGTTGCATCTTAAATGACGAGGCCCACGATGATCACCCAAAAATTCTGCAAATAGCATACTGGTCACGATATCCTTTTCCATATATTCCAAAAGTTCTTCTTCAAGATGCCTGCGACACAAGTTAAAAATTACATCATTAGAGATAATATTAAGTACTCCTTACCCTCCAATGGTTTATTCTCCTCATCTCTATCACTCTATAGTTTCCTCTAAGCAAATAATTACAAAGTACTTTGCATACTCCAACCAACAAAATCTGGATTCTCCAACTAGCACTTAAATCAATCACATGTGTAAAGCCCATCTTATCACGGGGAGAAAGAAATGGAACAATCAGAGGCGGACAGAAAGTAAAGGGCTAATGACTTCATGAATTATGTGCTAATTGGCATATTCTTTGTTTCAAAATCAACATAATAACTAGAGAATTGTATTTATAATAAATGGGAAGTTCAGAATGTAGTCTCACATCTAAGTACCTTTGCATGTCCAACCAATAACATCCCAGTTTGTCAATGTCAATGTGAATGTTGGGATCCGCATCAAAGAAATGCCAGGAAAATCCTGAGAACACATCAGCATACATCTTATCGTCACTAGTTTGTATGTCAATCTCTGCTGTGAAGTGAAGAATTCTCTCTAAGCGTAGCACTGTTTCTAGCAATTGGCTAATTCGTGGCATATCAGACAACGTACTGCGAAATGAGTTTGTCAGCAAATAAATCTGGCTAAGACAAGATGATGACCAGTTTACTCCCAAGAGGTTGCCAATAAGATAACAATGAGGATAAGGCATGTAGAACATTGTTGGTCTCTGAACTCTCCTCTTACAATTTTCATCAATGGTGAGAACCTTAAGATCAAGTTTCTCGAAAACTATGATATCAGCTGGAGATAGGCAGGGATCGTATATTTCTATATTGCCAATCCAATTGAAAAAATCTCGTTTTAGTAGGAGAGCTACTGCAAGCTGAAACTGTGAACTAAAACTGTATTCGATGCTTCCCAAACCATAGATTACCACCTGAACATCTGAATGGGAGCCTAAAAGGCGAAAGAAGTGTTTTTTAATTGTTTTATTCTGTTTGAGATCCAAGTGCATTCCAGTATAGAACTCTGGGTTCTCAACATTCTTCTTCACCAGTTCGATCTCTTTAAGCAGCCTTTCTGCCTCATCTTTTATGTGAAAATCAACATTTGACTCCATATCCTCACCAAAATTCATCATTATCAGGTTCAAATTAATGTTGGCCTCTAGCAATTTAAACACTATTTGAAACAGCTAAAATGCAGCAACACTCTCTTGTGTTCTGGACTTAATACAAACCTGCAAGTCTAAAATTTGAAGCACAAACTCATTAGCACGCTGAAGTACTTCACAGCAAAAAAGATGTATTTCTCATTATCTGAATGTGTAGAACTCAAAAGTACAGAGCTGCCAGCAGGCTGAAAGTATCTTGTCTCCTATAAAAACATATTTCTCCTATGCACTAATGAAAATTGATACTCTAAAGTGTCAAATCACATCTCATCCAAAAAGAAGAACATGAAGTTATTTTTCTAGAATTTCCTCTCTCGTCTTAAGTACAATAGATTCTTTATTTACAGCAAAACTGTAACATCCGACAATTTGAAATAGCTAAGAAGAGGCTTAGAAATTGAAGATTTTCATTTTTGGAAAGGATTTGAAAATCTGGAAAATTGGCTAAGTGTGGAAATCAGTGATTTTTGGCCAACTTTGAGCAGTCATAACTTCCAGCTCAAGATGAGTTAGGAGTATTTCCAGTTATGGTTGTGAATCTTGTGGAATGATCTTTCCAACGCCGCCGAGTTTGCTCAATTCCGAGTTCGTATGAGCGAGTTATGGCCTTTGAAAGTGGGGCAGTTGACAAGAAAATCCGTCCGGGAATCATTAAGGGCATTTTGGTCTTTTCCCTAGCTAATTCTTTTGAGGATATATTGTTGTGTTAGGATGATATTTGGATCATTTTGTTCCATTTTAAGGGAGTGAAAGTTAGGGTTCTTGAGAGTGAAGAAGAGAAGAAAGAGAAGAAGAAGAGAAGAAGGAGAAGAAGAAGAGGAAAATCGAGGAGATCATCGTGGATTTTCGTCGGGGGTGATCCCTACCAAGGTATGTGAGCTTTTAGTGTTGGGTGATCCTTTCCCCCACACACCTAGCCCCTTTTATTCATTAAGAAAGG